GGACAGCCCAGAGCCTTGGGACCCTGCACCCACATGGGAGACCCAGAAGACGCTCGAGGCTCCTGGCTTTCGGTGGCACAGCTCGGGCCATTGCGGCCACTTGGGGAGTAAATCAGCAGATGAAAGATCTTCCTCTCTGGTTCTCTTCCTCCTTGTATATCTGACTTTCTAATAAAAATAAACAAATTAAAAACAAAAACAAAAACATATTTGGAATCCAGTTTCATAAAAATGATGATCCTTTAGAGAAATGACAACCATGGACAGTTACACTGGATAACTAAAGCAGAGTACGAGACGGAATCCGGCCTCCTGAAGACATGTTACCCACGTCTCAGCTACTTACTGATATGCACTGTATATTTATGTAAAATCCCTTCTTTGCAATCCTATGTACATCTCCAAAGTTGTTCCCTTTTTCTTCTAGTATGTAAAAATATAAGGTAGCAATTTATATCTGTTGAATAAATTCACTTAAGGCATTCTAATAAGTGCTTCCATTTATTAAGCAAGTTTAATGCGGCAAACACTGTCATAAACTATATTAAATACATCACATCTTATGTTTACAATGATTTCAGTTGTTACTTTTGCTAGGACAAAGAAGCAACAGAACAGACTGTTAGTATTCACTATGCCTTTGTTATTTTTCTCTGCTTATTTGTCTCCTGAGGGGAGAAAAGCTGGACTCTGAAAAGCAGTCCATCTCGTTCCTTCTGCATCCTGTCACTAAGCCATCTCACTGCCGTCCCCACACAGAAGACAAACAAAACCTTTAAAGACTTCATGTTTTCAATTGTTAAAAATGTAAAACAAAAGGCATTTTAAAAGCATTAAAATGGCAAAAATTAAGCTATTGAATTTCAAGTTAATTGAAGGATAAGCACCATAACTGTTACCAATAATTCTTTGAGTCTCAGTAAATTCTCTCCAGCCATTTCAGTCTTTCCTCTGACTTCCTGAGGTTTTATTTTAAATGAAGAGGTTCTGCGGTTACATCATCTCCTACCTACTCAGTGGGCAGCTTAGAGAACACAAAGTTCGATCAGTGTATGTAGAACTCAGTGTAATAGTGGTCTTAAAAACCAGACATCAGTAAGTGGGAAGATAACATTCTTCACAGTCATAAAAACCACTATACAAAGTAGGTTGTGACTAAGAATCAAGTCAATTTCTGTAAACCAAACCATTTTTTTTCGTGCCTAGAAAATGTGGTCAGGGTCAAGCCAGACATGACGTGCATGTTCTCTGCCCTACAGTGAAGTCAGCAGAAGACACAGCCTGAGACAACCTGCCTCTTTCCACACGGGAGTGGCCTGCACGCTGTGCTGAAACAGGGCACCCCTTGCTGCATGAGCAGATGAGGAACGCTCCGCTTCGCATTTCTCCTCATCTCCATCTTTCTCTCTCTCTCACACACACTTGTCAGCGAGGTTAAGACAGTACTTAATACAGACAAGACTATCTATAATTTGGTTTGAGTAGTTAATACTATAATCTGGCAATAAGGCTCATCCATTTTCTTTGTTTACTTTCCAGATTCTACCAATTGTAGATGCTGGAAACTACAGTAATGAAAAAAAAAGATCACATTCTAGTTCCTCAAAAGGGGTCTCGTATTACAGTGTCAGTACTGATCATTTAGGAGGAAAGCTTTCTGAAAGCATCTATTAGTTAGTAAATACAGTAAGTAATTAACATTTGGACTGTGTTTTTATAAAAAATAAACACATCCCAGTTTATTCATTTTCTTGAATTTTAACTTATGATGAGTAGGTAACAACCAAGGCCTTGATAACAGTAGATCCTGGCTATGAAGCAGCACATTCGAAATTACAGAATTATTTGCCACGGCCGTGTCTGCATTGCTCCACCACTGCTGGTGGTGTCAGTACTCTACACATAGTTCGATCGATTTACCTGATATCTTCTTTTCACTGTCCCACTGAATCTCGGCTTGCTCACCAGTACTAAAAAACCACAAATGTGGAATGTTTTCACCATAAACTAGACTTCCCCTGCTGGCACTGCTAGTGGTTCAGTTATTGCTAGCATAATACTTTCTCCACTGAACTCTCAGTTCCTGCCTCCACCATCACCGCTCCAACCATAACCCAATCAGGGTCAGTTACTGCAGGTGGTTTGATGTGGCCAGACTACAACTGTTACCCAATTCAATGAGCCTCCATTCTTCCTGAGGATTCTTTTCCCTTTTCACTTCACAAACAATTGTAGTGTTTTTCTTTCTCACCTGCAGAATTCCTTGCACTAGCACCTTCCTCTTTTATTCCAGCTGACAAGACACCAAAGGAAAAAAATATGCCAACAGAATGATGAGAGGATGTAAATGTAGGACCAGAATATCAATGTTGCACAGGGTTCACGCAGATACAGGCATGTTAACAGGGAATGTCTCTCTACATGTGGCCATCTCTGTGCTTAACAGATGGGCTCCAGGAAGTGTGCTACGGTGCTTTCATCTGAGGGGAGGACACTACACTGCCCCAGGTAGGATGGTCAATCTGTCACCTGCAGGTCAGTCAGTCTTCAACTGAATTTTGTCTGGTTAGAGAGAAGGCATCAAGAAACAACAGAACAGGCCCTTAGAAGTCTCTGGAAGCAGAAAGAGACATTTTCTGGAAGAAAGCAGGCAGGTCTCATTCCCTGGACTTCTCAGTGTAATTGCCTTCACTCCCTGCTCTTGCTTTCTCTCCTTCCTTCTGCCTCCTTTGCTTACTGGGATAGAAAGTGTTTGCTGTATTTACTCATTTATGTTTCCCATTTTAAACTTAAAATAGGGTCTCCTGAAACAAGAAAACATTTTTGTAATTTTAGCGGGGAGTTGGAAGAGGTAGGAAAGACAGTGAAAGTTCTTGAAATTTCTTTCAGAGATTCTCCACTCTTCAATTCAGTGAAATGAAATTCCATCTTGACAAGTACAAACATTGTACTCCCAAAAAATTACATATTGAAGTTTAAATCTTGACACACACAAAAAGAATACAAAGTTCACCGGGTGTAAGTATAAATCCGAAAGTGTTTAAGTATAAAATTCAAAGTTTTTGATGTAGAAAGCAAATAAAAATCTATGCAAACAATTATTTCAACAAAAAACAGAAATAAATGCATTCAAAGGAAGAGTCTGCCATTTTTATACACTGCAAACAAGGATTTTCCATCCCTAGAGCCAGTCTTCAAACTCATTCTTACCACAAAATTTTGTGTTTCCCATTTTACAATCTTTTTGGTAGTTTCTATGTATTATAATCAATTCTCCAGAAGTAAAATCTCTTCCTAAAGGATCTATATAAACCCCATCATATAAAAATGTCACAGCATCTTTTCTTCACCACACAGAAAAACTGTAATTAATAATTATAACTTATTCTTTATTAGTCATCTTTCTACAGAAAAGATCAGAAATTAACCTTATCAGAAAAGTATACATATTAAATTACAAGTTTTAATAAATTACTGATTAGACGATTGCAAGTTATTTCTAGCACATATCACAAATAATTCCAAAACAATGATTTATTAACAAAAAAAAAATACAAAGTAATACAAATGGGCATCCTATTTCCCGCATTATGGACCATCTGTCTATCTCCCTTACAGTCCAAGACATGGCCGTTGGAGCTGTGAAAATAGGACATCTGTTTTCAAAGGGCTTTCATAACCATGCCCAAACTGCTGCATATTTAAGCTACACAGGCCATGTTTATTTAAAAAAGAACTCTTTAATCTACATGAGTCTCCATACAAGCCTCTCCCCTTGCAATACACCATGTGCTGAAAAGTCAATCAAACACAAGAGAGCCAATGAGTACACACCATGTTAAGTCTTGAAAAAAGTTTACAAGTGAAAACTTTTGTTTTTAGAAAACAAAATTATTTTTATAGCTATGTACTAAAAACACTTAAGGTTTAAAATATCTTGCCAAATAAACTAAACTGAGACAACCTGGAAAATATTCAGCTTATGAACTAAAGCTACTTACATATCTATTATTTCAATTTCTTCAAGGATGGTTCTTTTCCAATTCATTTCAACAAACTTAAAAGTTCTTCCATCTTTCTCTTTCTACGGGCCTGAAATATTCTCTGAAATCATGGTAAACTTTAACACTTTGTGATTGTTCTTACAGAGCTCCTTAAAATGCCAACACAGATGGGGAAATTTCATAAACCATTATGCTCAGTAAATAATGCCCTATTTGTAATTTCTACTATGGCTAGTCAAGACAAAACAAGTAGTTTTGCCTGCTAATGATCCTAAAAGCTCTGTTTTGAATTTTCTACATTATTTATGTTCCTGAAAGGTTTTGTTGAGGGACCCCACTCAGAGCCTAGAACTACACTCTACCTCTTACTTACAATTATTCTGATAAAGACACGAGTACAGTGTTAGACTAGGCAGCAGTAACCTAAGGGTGCTAGACCAGTAACACATTTTTTTGGGAGCTGGAAAATTCAGATGACCATTCACTAAACATAAAATCATCATTCCACAAAAATTTTATTCACATTAAAACTTGCACAGTAGCAAAAAAAAAAAAAAAATCAAAACATAAGACTAAGCCACATATCCAAGAACAATATACAATAGAGATTTGAAGTTCTCAGCCGCATTGGAAGATATTTATATAAATAACATATACAATTCTAGTGTTAGATCTTTCAAGGTGTCTGAAGCTTCACAGTGCTAAAATTGATTTTTATCAGAACACATGCAAAGTGTGCAACACAATAATTCATATTAATGACACACACACAAAAAAGCACGCCAGTTATTTGTCATTCCAGCACGGCCATGCCACTCCATTTCTAAAAGCAAACAACCCCAGATCCGGGTCCCATTCATTCTTCAATTCTGCCTTTAGTCACTCTGCTTTAGAATATGCAGTCACTGTCAGTGCTCTTCAGCACGCCTTTCAGGTGGACGCCACTCCCTGCCTGCTGGCTGCCAGGACTGGGGGACGCCCCTCTCCCAGACTCACCTTCTTCCGGATGTCTTCATCATTCGCTCCCAGAGAGGCATAGAGCTTGAACGCGGCCTGGCGGAGTTCATGGGCATGCTTTAAGTCATGGTCAAGCTGCAGAAAGGAAGCAAAGATTATGTTCCAAATCAGTCTACAGATTAAATCTTGAACAAAATACCTGAGTGGTGCCGCTGACAACTGTTGCTGCCACTGAATTCTTCAGTTATTTCTGGGTTCTGTTCATGCATGACTGTGACCGCGCTGGCTGTCTCTGTCCAGATCTGAAACGCAGTCTGCTTCTATTTGGAAGTGAACCCCACAACAATTCACACTAAATCAAAAACTGCTTTATGAATGTCTGAACCCTACAAGTTCCATGCTCCCAGATGGTAACTCCAGTGCCATGGGGCTTAGTTACTCAAACGAGTAGCTTCTTTTTTTCCAAAGGAGTTACGTGGGAAAGGCACCCTCTTACCCAATGATGCAGATACTGTTTCTAATATTCCAAGATTTTATTTTGTAAATGTTTTCAAAGCACCAACTGACATACCAGCTAGAAAGTGTTGAGACTTGGTATTGTTTTATCAATGAACAGTTTTAAGTTAAATGTCACTGTGGTTTTTAAAGACGAGAAAATTTAAGTAGGAAACATACTTTACGCTAACAAGAAACCACACACACACCAAAATTTTAAAAAAAAAGCCATTTAAAGTAGTTCTGAAGGCAATTCTTAAAACTGTTCCAAAATGGATTTCACAGAGCTTTTTTTTTTTTAAAATCTATCAAGGCCAATTATAAAGATGGATCACTGGAGGAACATTCCAACACACAATATCAGTTCTGTAAGCCTCTAAACTATACTCCAGTTATAATTTACATATAGCCATAATGTGAGAATTTCTATGAATCTAGTACGTATACTTTCATAGTCAGAAACCTTTAGACAATCCATCACCATAATTAAAGGTGACAAAATCAACTCAAATGTTGCATTGGGAGAGCATTATAAAAATATTATTCCAGTTTTTCTGTGATGAAAATGAAATATAAACATTCTAAGACATAATCTACAGATTAAATAATTTTCACATACTTAAGTTAGTAGTCTTTAAAACCATGTTTCCTCGCTCTCTGGCTCATCACAGCATCTGCTGCCTTGCTGGCATGACCACTCCAAGGTGTGTGGGAGGCCATGGCAGGGCTTAGTCATGGGTTCTCGAACTTCTGTCAGAGCTGGCAAAGAGCCAGTGTATCTAATTAATGTAACTACCAATGCAGGTTCTTTTCAGGTACTTCCTAACAGAAGAGACATATCCTTAGCAGTTTGTTTTCTCTTCAACATTAATTGCCAAGTAAACAACTGTCTTCTGAATGAGAATCTTGCAACTCAGAATTCAGAAACATAGGGGAAGCCATAAGAACTATTACCATGGGAATAAGGGTGTTGCAAGCAGTCACGTTCAGGAAACAGTACTAGCTACTGGTTAAGAGGCAATGCTCTCCATCATGACCTTACAGAATACTTTATGCTTAAGAAAAATGGATGACAAACAGGCCGAGAAGTAACAAGTTAAAAGAATACTGACGTACTCTAAGGAAGTTAAATTTTCAGAAAGCATAATTTAGTCATCAACAGTCCCCAGATACTAAATCACAATACTATGAAATCCCAAAATCAAGAAAAAGACAGGAATAGGTAGCAGGAAAAAATTGTTTTGATGGAGAATAAAGTTTGATCATTCAGTCTGTAACGAAAAGATCACAGATGCTGAGTCACTGCTTGGGCTGCCCCAGACCACGGGGGAGCACCTGGGCCGCTCTTGGCCTCCATTCCGCTCCAGCTCCCGTTTCTCAACATCCCAGATGGCAACAGGTGATGGTTCAACTGAATCCCTGCCACTGACACGGCAGACCTGGACTGAGTGTCAGCCTCCAGGCCAGGGCCCGACTCCACTGACTGGCGCAGCTTAGGAGAGTGAACAAGTGGCTGGGAGCTGTCTCTTTGCCTTGCAACACACACACAGATTTTCCTTGATATCATGAATGAGAATACAGCAACAGAGATGATTCTGTGGCCTTGACTAGGATTAGATAATGTGATAAAATTGCAATACTCAACTTAAAGACTGTGCTATCTGGAGGTTTAAGTGAGTGTTAAATATGTAATTTTCTCCTTTCCTGCTTACCTGCTTAGCAAAAACCCTACAAACAATACTAGTTATATAATCAAAGATAAATGACTCTCCTATTTAAAATGGTTTTGTGCTGTAATTGCTAATCGGTTCAAAGTTGTGAGCAGTGAAGAAGACACTAACAATCCTCCTGAGTGGCGGAGGAGGAGATGACATACCCTCTTGATGTCAGTGATGGCGCTCACGGAGCTGGGGTACTTGAAGTAGTCGGCAAGCATGGCGATGAGGTGGTCCGTCACGCTGGCGATCCTCTGCAGCTCGACATCGGGCTCAATGAGATAGGCGAGGGTCTCGGCTCCCTCAACTCGCTCCTCCAGCAGTCTCTCCTTACTGCACATCCGAACCAAGCACGGCAGTGTCTGAAAGGCAGTGAGATCAATCACTGGGTTTTTGGTGAAGGTAAAATCTTGATGCGTATATCATAACTCAGTCAACTCAGAGGTTTTCTATGGGGAGTTATGTCTGCCACCAGTACCCCCTCTACTACTTTTCAACAAAAGATTCTTCAAAAAGGAAAACCAAAATTCAGTACCAATTAATCATCTGTGCCAACATTCTTAACCATACACTGAAGTATGTCGACAGACTCTTAACATTTGTGATGTTAAGACTGAAACTTAAATCTTAAAAACCAACATTCAAGAATCCCTAGCAAATCATGTGCGATGGCTTTATTCACCTACATATTTATTTACCTAAAAGAGATCCAGCATTGAGTCAGGAATGATTTTGCCATAAAAGCATGCAATCTTTTCCTTAGTAATATGGTTGGGATGCCTTTTTTGGCTTGGGAATTTGTATGTATAGTTGCAAAAACAAAACACAGCCTTAACAATTCAGTGTCTTCACCACTTCTCATAGTCCACTACTTGTCCCAAAACGGGAGTGACGTGTCTGAGTAACAGCTAGCGTTTTCCAAGAACGCGCTGGAATGATATGATAGCTAATAATCCAAGTTTCCATCTGAGGCTTTTCAAAGCTCTTGACAGCGGTTCTGGTAATTTATCTACATTTGGGCTGAATAAAAACATGTATTTACTATTTTTAAGGCTTTAATGAATAATATGAAAATACATATTACAGCAGAATTGTATGAAGCTTTGCTCAGTGATCACAGTAAACTGTGTTTTCTTCCATTGTTTAGTTCCTACTACATGTTTACCAGAGTTAACACTTTCTTGCTGACTAATGATTTCCCATTAGGCTAGTTTAGGTTTTCTACTTCAACCCTAGGCTTTGAATGGGGAGGGCCTTCTCTTTTTGTCCCAATAGTACTATTTATCAAAATCATAAACTGATGCTTACTGAATTTAATGCCCCCCAACTACATCATGAAGGATACCACTGGGCTGAGGTAGTGGCTCAGGAGGCTAGTCCTCTCCCTGCAGCACTGTCACCCCACATGGATGTGGGTTTGAGTCCTGGCTACTTCGTGTCTGACCCAGCTCCATGTCAATGGTCTGGGAAGGCACTGGAGGACAGTCCAAGTCCTCGGGCTGCTGCATCCACAGGGGAGACCTGGGAGAAGCTCCTAGCTTCAGCCGTAACAGCCATCTGGGAAGCAAACCAGTAATAGAAGACCGCTCTCTCCCTAGCTTTCCTTCTTCCCTCTGTAAATCTGCCTCTCAAAGAAGCATCAAAAACAAAACTAACTTATTACCATTGAGGAATAAAAGGAGAGCAAGAGAAGTCAGTAAGCCAGGCTCACCTGCAGGAAAGCCCTTAGCACTCCAGGCTGAGCTGCTCACTTAGAGACGTCCTGACATCTGCTTACATGAAGTACTTACCAACAACTAAAATATTTGTTCGTTTTCCTAAGGCTCTTTTATCTTTTCCCTTTATCTAACATTTGCAAAATAACACATAATTAATCATGTATACTTGTTTTGCTCTTTATAGATATAGAACATTTTAATATACTCAATATATTATTATCTTCATAACATCCTTTGGGACAGACGAGCAAGAATTACTGCCTCTGTTTTCCTAATGAGGCACCAGAAGAGTCAGGGGCGTTGAGCAGGACAGTAGGGACGGAGCAAAGCCAGAGGTGGGTCTCAGGACACGTAGGGCGGTTCAGGTTGCCTCTGACATCCCACAATGACAACAACTTTCATGTGCACCTGGTTAGTCCCTCATTCTTGGTTTTGAGAATGATACAGTGTTTAGATGTATAGCTGGTAAACTGCCTACAAAACCATACTGCAAACCCAATAACAAACAGATATTAAAATGCATTTTTTATTTCACTTGAATTTCATATACTCTCATGGTTTCTACATTTCCTTAATTATCGTAAGATGAAAAAGTTGTGACAAGAAACAAAATATTCTGCTTTGCTATTGAAAACACATCTAGAATTAATTTTTAAAAACTATAAGGCAGGCATATTTTATGCCACATCTACATTTAAAAATACATAAAAAGCAGAAATGCTGTTAGACATACTTAATATTTATATAACTGTAATTTCCAGGTTTTCAGAGGGAATTTATTAGTTTACCTTTAATACAATACAGCCGTCATCTGTCCGGATCGCTCCCGCTCTGCACATGTAAGTTAAACTGCAATGAGATGACAAAAAGTAAGTTTTAACTCAAATTTTAAAGATTTAAAAATTATCTGCCTTTGAAATTTTAATTAAAAAAAACTATCATTTACTTTTATGCCCCATCCCCAATTTATTTATTTTTGAAGTTTCTGTTACAGGGCAGGGAAGAGAGGAGAGAAACACAATCTTTCATTCTCTGGTTCACTCTCCAGGTAATTCCAAAAGCCAGTGCTAGACAAGGCTGCAGCCAGGAGCTTTTCCGGGTCTCCCCCAGGGGTGGCAGATACCCAAATACTTCCTTTTTCTGTCACTTTTCCAAGGCTGCCTGCTGGGAGCTGGATCAGGAGTGCAGCATGCCAGCCACAACTTGCACCCATGCATGTGATGCTGGCATCACAGGCAGGCAGTAGCTTTACTCACTATGCCACAATGCCATCCCCTACTGTCACATAGCTTGAGCAAGATTTTGACATTTCCTTATCTGAAGTTCAATCTAATAATGGAGGAAAACTCACATACATAAATAGATACTGAGGCAAATATTAACAACAAAAAACACAACAAATTATTTTAAAAATTAGTAACCTAACAAATGAAGACATTTTGAAGCTTGGACACTAAATACATGTGAATTCTTTATGCTTTTCTCCATACCATACATTTCAAATTTTCTATAATAAAGAGAGGATTGTTACAAATAAAAGACCAAAACAGTAGCTCAATTTATAAATGAAGTTGAACAGAAGTAGTACAGAATACATTTACAGTATTATACAACCGTCCATCAAAAGCTATGCTGGCACGGGCATTGGCCTGTCGGATCAAAGGCCAGCTAAGACATGCACATCTACCGCAGCCGCCATCTGACACCAGCCTTGGCTCTGCAAACAGATGCCGAGAGGCAGTGATGACAGCTCAACAGCCCGAGTCCCTGACACCCAGGCTGCGACCTGGTGCACTGTGGGTATCTGGAGAGTAAGCTAGTGGTGGAAAGTCCCCAGCAAAAAACTAGAACACTGTTTTGGTTTTTGAAAAAACTATACAAAAACAGGAAAATCTCTTACTTACATTGTAGAAGGCTGAGATTTTTGTGCCTGTTACTATTCACGGGTAATTCACTGAGAATCTCCAATTCTCTTGGAGAACCACAGTTGCACTTAGCACACAACCATATAGAACAGGTACTCATGAACATGTATGTTAACATACTGGTAATTACCAAACATACATGAGCCAGGAATGTAAATTTTACATTATCTTACAGCATATCACGCATCTAAGACTGATTTTTGCTTGTTGCTTATCTAAACATAAAAAAGACATTCTCAGAAACCATCCCCTGCTTATTAATTTTCATTAATTCTAAATAAAGGATACAACAATTTTCTGTAGATGGGTCTCTGAAAAGATGAGAACTCCTGTTTTGCATACCATAAGTAACAGTAATCAATTCTGCAGCAATCCTTTGCAAAGAGTGAATGCCCCGAGCCACCTGCCTTCCACTGTCCCCGAGCCTGCGTTCAGGCTGGGCTCTACTTCCAACTGGACTTTCCTGCTACTGCGCGCCGTGGAGCAGCAGGCGGCGGCCCAGGCACTTAAGTTCCTTCCAGTGACATGGGAGACCTGGATGGAGCGCCAGGTTCTTGGCATTAGCCCTCCTCTGTCTTGGCTGCTGTCACATGTGGGGAGTGAACCAGTAGATGCAAGATTTTTGTCTGGTTCTCTGCCTTTCAAATGAGAAATTTAAAAACAGACTTCCATTTAGCAAGAAATGAGACAACCACATGACTTTCAAATTTCAAAACCACAGAACAAGAAGAACTGATGGTAAACAAATGGGCCATCCAGGAATTGTCCAAACTGGATGAAGCACTGCCCTCCTTCTGGACAGACTTGACCTGTACCATTTGGCTGCAGTGAGCTGCATCTCGATCGGCTTGTCCCTCTGCAACATCTTCACAAAGATCTGCGGCAGTAATTCTCCATCAACCAGCACTACAAGCAAGCACACAGACAGCAGGATCACACAGATGCTCTACATCGAGGAAGTTCCTAAATTCAATCTTGTAGCTGCATGGAACGTCTCCGCCTACCGTTAACCAGGGTCATCGACACCTGGGGGTTTTCAAAGGCTAAAACAGAGAAGCACTTCAATGCCTGCATTCGAACCTGTAACAATAAAAGGAAAACGCACTTATTTAATTTTCAAATGTAATTTTAATGTCTCAGAATCTAAACTCTTCCCCTGAAAAAATAACCATGTAAATCTGCTTAAAATGCTAAAAAGAAGGATCAACAAAACAATAATATTTGTGTTATGTGAAGAGTACAGTGTAAAGAATTATACAAAAATTAAAATCAATTCTGAAGTAATAGAAAAGAAAAAAAGGGGCCCAGCACGATAGTCTAATGGCTAAAGTCTTCACCTTCCACACGCCGGGATCCCATATGGACACCAGTTCTAGTCCAGCTGCTCTACTTCCTGTCCAGCTCCCTGCCTGTGGCCTGGGAAAGCAGTCAAGGACAGCCCAAAGCCTTGGGACCCTGCACCTGTGTGGGAGACCCGGAAGAAGTTCCTGGCTCCTGGCTTTGGATCGGCTCAGATCCACCTGTTGCAACTACTTGGGGAGTGAATCCACAGACAGATCTTTCTTTCTGTCTCTACTCTGCAAATCTGACTTTCCAATTTAAAAAAATAAATCTTAAAAAAGAAAAAGAAAAAGAAAAGAAAAAAGTAGCAAAAAAAAGAAAGAAAGAAAGAAAGAAAAAAGAAGTACAGTGCTTCAGTGTTGCTGGGGGTGTGGTACTCAGTCACTGTGGAGGTCAGTATGGAGAGTGCTAAGACAGCCCAGCTGGGTCAGTGACCTAGCATATGACCCAGCCATCCCTCTTCCGGGACTACATCCACAGGCAGTGGAATGTGCACCTGAGAAAGTGACCCGCAATCCTACAATGGTGAAGACCCGGAGACAACCCACCAAAAGGACAGCTAAAGAAACTGTGGTACTCAGCCATCAGAAAGAATGAAATTCTATTTGTAACAAAATGGTTCCAACTAGAGACCATTATGCTCAGAGAAATAAGTCAAACCCAAAAGAACAAATATATATCGTCTCTGAAATTGGGCAACCTTCACGTAAACTACAAGATCAACAGATAGGTATATAAAAATGTATATACGTATACTCACCTAGGAAGCACACTATGAAGCCATAGTCACAACATCTTACCTTATAGGAGAGTGAGGTTAGCAGGTGAGCGATATTCTGAACTGCACCATGGTTAAATAAAATTGTTTGATGATCTGGCCCCTGTAGGAAAAGAGAATACAAGAATACATTAACAACAATAAAGATTAATCTCAATAAAACTGTACTGGGGCTGGAAACATGGCTTAAAGGGTTAAGCCACTGCCTATGACAGCAAACTATAAGGGTACCACTTTGATGACCAGCTGCTCCACTTCTGATCCAGATCACTGCTAGCGTGCCTGGGAAAGCAGCACAGGAGGGCCCTACACCCATGTAGGAGCCCAGGATAAAATTACTAGTTTCTGGTTTAGTCCTGATACAGTCCCAGCCATTGCAGCCATTTGAGAAGTGAACCAACAGATGGAAGATCTCTGGTTCTGGGGCCCAAGCAGCCCTCTCTTCAGGAGGATAACAGCCAGGCTAATCACAAATGAGCAGTCTTAGGGTAAGAGCCCCTAAACATTCTATGTACCATGAACTGTTCCTTAACACTAAGTAAGCAATGTTTCTCTTAATTTCCATGTTTTTCATGTTTTTTTAAATGATTTGCTTTATTTTGATTTGTGAGTTTTTCTTTATTATTTTCCATTATACATTTTTATAGAACAGCCAACTCCCTTTTTTTCCTCCCTCCCTCTTCCAGTTATTTTTAAAGTTACAGAGACAGAAGGAGAGAAAGAAATCTACCTGCTGTTTACTCATGAATGGGGCTGGGCTAGCCCAAACCCAGCATCTTCGCACAGGTCTCATCGTGGGTGTGGTGGCCCAAGCACTGGACCATTCTCCACTGCTTTCTCAGATCATTAGCAGGGAACTAGATCAGAAGTGGAGCAGCCGGGACTCAAACTGGCACCCTCACGAGATGCTGGCACCACAGGTAGAGGCTTCATACATTATGCCATGGAATGGGTCCTTAATTTTTTATTATTCAAAGAGTTACAGACAGACAAGGAGATACAGGGATTCTCCATCCACTGGTTCACTTCTCAGATAACTACAGTGGCCAGTGCTGGACCAGCTGAAGCCAAGAACGTCATTCTGGTCTCTGATGGGGAGCAGGGGCCAAACAATTGGGCCGTCTTATGCCATTTTCCCTAGGCCATTGGCAGTGAGCTGGACTGCTAGTGAAGCAGCTGGCTACAACTGTACCCATAAGGAATGCCAGAGTTACAGGAAGTGGCTTTACATGCCATGCCACAATTTTAGTCCTTAATTTATTTTTAATCACTATAAAGTAGTTCAGAGTTGAATGATTCAAACCTATCTATTTTAGAGTTTTTAATGTCTGTTATAAACAATGTCTAGCTGGACATATCTGAAGCTGCAGCCCAGTGCAGATCCCCACTATCAGCCTACGTTCCCAGTACACAACGGCTCAATGTACTACTGCATGCCTACTCAAAATGGTAGAAACCATATGAAGAACTATACTTTAGTAATGATATAAAGGAATTAGGCGGGGGTGGGGGGGAATTGGGGAGGGGATAAGGGAAATCCCAGGAGCCTATGGAACTGTATCATAAAATGATAATAGTAATAACAAATATAAATGTTAAAAAAAAACAAAATGGTAGAAATCAATCTTTGCATCTTGATATTAATTAAAAATACTGAAGTTCTCAGAGCAAAGGTATGTTTTGTTTTTGTTTTGTTCTTTTAAGGGCAGGTGGGAGGGAGGAGAGAAAGAGAGAGTGAGAGAGAGAGCGAGATTCCCAGGAATTCAAACCAGATTCCCCAATGACATGAGTGATCAGTGCTGCCTTCCAACGTCCACGTTAGGAGGCAGCGGAATTCGGGAGCCAGAGTTGGGTACCAAACCCAGGCTTTCCAATGCGGCTGACCATCCACACCAGACACTGATTTTAGGCCTTTTCCTCTCAACTCATCCAGGAACCTTCAGTTATACATGCTTGCTATGGGCACGCAGCAGGCACTGCCCTAAAGGCTGCAGGATCCCTGGCTTAGTCATCGCTAAGGCAGTGACGAAGCCAGGAATGTGGGAGCCAAGATAAAGCGTGGTCTCCCGCACTCGGACCCAGTGGGTGGAAATTCTCTCTCAAATAAACCAAGGCTTTTTTTTAAATGGATTTGAGAATATAAAGATTCGCTCTGGTTCTTACTTTGCAGCAGTGTGAGAAGATCTGACAGATGTACTCCTGGGTGTAGCGAGACCTGCTGAGCAGAGCCATGAGGTGTGGTATCACTGTGGCATCCTGCAGGGGGAGAGAAGGAAAGCACAGCAACGGACACTTAGGTACCACTTGCACAGCTGACAACAACACCATAAGCAGGTGCACAGTCGCTCATCACAAGGACAGCATGTCGGGTCTCTCTGAGGAATAGAAAAAAACAAAAGCAACCTGGCCAACCAAATCATCTAGACAAGGAGAGGGAAGTGGTTTCAGTTTTCATCCTTCATAACAAAATGAGGGCAAAAATTCTCAAAGTAGCATATTTCCACAATACAAACATTTCAATAGGAATTGACAGAAACTAGTTCTAAAATCAAAATATGACTAGTACAATGCACAATAAGTAGCTGAAAAGGAAGAATTCTTACATAAAAATACACTTGGTGATTTTCATCTATGAGATATCACTGTAGCCATCAATAACTATTACAATCATTGATGACTGAAGTCAGCTGTCTCCGTCTGCACTAATCCAACATGGTTAGCCACTGAGCCAGAGCCCCCTCGGCGGGGCTTTCTGGTGGGTAACTCTACCAGAGCCTACTGCTGACACTTGGCAACATACATGACAGTTCAGGAAAAAACAATCAACCCACCCTGCTAGAGTTTGTCAAGAAGAGTATTTAGAAGACAAAAGAAATTAAAGTTGAAAGGAAATTTGGCATGCACCATAAATGGAAAAGGAGACAGTTCAAGTTTCTTAGTCTATCCCAAATGCTATCATAAATCCGACCACAAATCCTAGACTTGCCTTCTCAAACAGGTGTGTGTGTGCACATTCTTGCAACTTCAGGATAGAACCTAAGGGCCCATTGTGGTAGCCCAGAGGCTAAGCCCTTGCTTTGCACCCACTGGGATCCCATGTGGTACCCTAGCTGCTCGACATCACATCCAGCTCCGTTTGTGGCCTGTGAAAGCAGCAGAGGATGTCCAAGGCCTTGGGACCATGTACCTGCGTGGGAGACCCAGAGGATGCTCCTAGTGTGTGGCTTTGGATTGGCTCAGCTCCAGCCATTGTGGCCACTTGGGGAGTGAACCAGCAGACAGAAGATCTTTCTGTCTCTCCTCTTAGGATAGGACCCAAGAGCCTGCCTTCTAATCAGCTCCCCAAAGGGGTTGATGCTAGCTCACTGTGCTACTTCCCTCACAGAAGGTGATGGGGGCAAGGAAGGAAATTAGAACAACTTAGAAAACCTCAAAGAATGTCATTACTAAACGCGTAAGGTAAAACAAGATAAGGGATGAGAACGTCAACTGAGGGCAGCGTAGTTTCACCAGCAGACAACAGAGAATCCTGGAGAAGCTAAGGGAATAGCAAGTAAAAAGGCCAGTTTAAAAAGGCTTCCATTTTGCTGTTCTCCACTCTTCCCTCATTCTCAATCTTTATCAATTCTTTTCACAATGTCCCCTTCTCAGCTATGTCTCTATGTCTGCACTCACAGATGATTGCACTAGGCAAAGAACGGTTACATAACTGCCCAAACTTACCAACTGGAAACCCCACCCTCCTCTGCCTGGACCACTCTGTCCCTGTTCCAGTACCAGAGCTACTGTCAACGTATGACCTCTACACAGCTCAACTGGAGTCAGTTAATTACAATGAAACATTATTTTTTTCTCTCAGTTAGACCCCTCCATCCAACATTCTACCTCCAGTGCCTCTAAGGTATAAATGTTTCAAGGCACAAAAATGGCATGTTTCGTAATCTAGATGATTTCACTGTCTAAATGTAACCTCGTTTTCCTAATGTAACAGGACTAGGGTGAGCATAGGACAGGTGCTTGAGGGTGGAGTCACCCAGGCAGGCAGCATGTGCTGGCCCGGGCACATGGGTAGAGATTCCCAGGGGCAGGCCCAGACTGAGTCCCAGCTGCAGGCATGTGTGCTATAAACCAGTGCAGAGAAGATCTCTTTATCTGTTTGGCTAGTCTTCAAATAAACATTTTTAAGTTGGCCAAAACCAAAGTTTTCCAAACTGTGTACCATGATCCAGTAGAGGGACATGGGCCAGGCTGGGAACTAAGGAGGCAGGAATTAAAACAGCTACTAGCGTCAATTTCCCCCAGTCCAACAGAAGTGGGGGGGGGGGGGACTTCCAGGGGAAAGACAGGGGACTGATTGGTTTAATCCCTATTAACATGAAAACATGACTGACCGAAAAAACAGACTATTATTTTTTTTCTTTTAAAAAAAATTAATTTTTATTGGAAAGTCAGATGTGCAGAGAGGAAGATCTTCTGTCTGCTGGTTCACTCCCCAACTGGTCACAATGGCTGGAGCTGAGCTGATCCAAAGCCAGGAACCAGGAGCTCTTCCGGGTCTCCCACACAGGTGCAGGTTCCCAACGCCATGGGCCGTCCTTGACTGCTTTCCCAGGCCACAAGCAGGGAGCCGGAGGGAAGTGGGGCTGCAGGGATTAGAACCGGTGCCCAAATGGGATCCCAGTGTGTGCAAGGCGAGGAATTTAACTGCTAGGCTATGCACTGAGCCCCAGACTATTATTTTCTAAAAGTGCTACAGAATTCTTAGACCAAGATAACTAGTTTTAAATAAGCAGTTCTCAAACCAGAAGGATCTGAGTTACCCAGAAACTTGCTAAAAATGCATATTCTCGGCGCCACCCCATAATCAGTGCATCAGCATCTTAAAAGTGCCCAGGTAACGGACACACGCTGAGGTCTGAGCATGCAGTCTGTGCATTCATGAGGCATCACTCCCTGAAAAATGGCTCATGCAATTCTGAAGTATAAAGTCCACAGAGCTCATGTCTTCCCTGCCATGGGCTTATGTATCTGTGTAGGAAGCAGAGGCCATTCTCTATGCTTTCTTGCCTGCGCCTCCCAACTACTTAACTACAGTTTGATTTGGGATCAGAGCCCTGATTCATGTGGATCCGATCTGGCAGGTTTTTTCAGAGTGTGTTTGTGACCTCAGAGAAGCACAGCCAGCATTAGAGTGAGACAAGAGAATAAAATCAGAGGGGATCATGCCTGCGCAATTGTGCTTTGGGTCTTCTGCAGGACTTACATTCAATCACACATGTAGATACTAAAGCAATGTACAGTTCTTACAGTAAAAGCAGATAACATTGTTTCAAAAATATTAGCTTAGATAATTTTCATTAAGAAAATTCTATGTAATCAACAGAAAAAAAAAAATCCTTCATAATCCCTGAGGCCTAAAAAAATTTGAGACAAAGAGAAAGGAGACAGCAAGAGGCAGCCAAAGCTGTACCTGCTAGACTACTTTTCAGTGCCCATCAGGACTGGCTGAGGATGGAGCAGCGAGGGGAGCCAGGGCCATCCACGTACCCCAAAGCAGGGACACCACCTTCACTACCTGAGCCATCACCGCAATCTCCCAGGCTTCAAACTGGTGGGAAGCTGGAATCACAAGCTTAAACTGGGAATCCAATCCAGGCATTTCCACACAGGCAACCTAACTGTGAGGTGGAAAGTGCTCACACTGCTGAGGCTTTGAAAACCACTGGTTGGTGCTGACACAGCCAGTTAATCTTCCACCTGTGGTGCTAGTGTACCATGTGGGTACCAGGAGTGCCAGCTGCTTCACTTCCAAGCCAACTCCCTGACCATGTGCCTGGGAAAGCAGCAATAGATGCGCCCCTGCACCCGCCTGGGAGACCTAAAGGAAGCACCTGGCTTCTGGCTTTGGATTGGCCATTGGAGAATGACCAAGTGGATGGAAGATCCGTCTCTCTCTCTGTCACACACACACACACACACACACACCTGCTTGGTGTTGTAATTAAGTCCCTGCTTGGGACACTGGCATCCCTTTGCCTGCAATTTCAAGCTCCTTCTAACGCACACTTTAGGAACAAGCGGAGAGATGACAGTCCAGGGACTAAGCCCCGCCCCCTCCAGCAGAGCCCCAGCTGGAGCTCCAGGCGACTCCACTCCACGTAACCAGCCCTGGCCGCTGCGGGCCTCTGGACAGTGAACCAGCAGATTAAAAATCTTCCACTCTCTCTCTGTCGCTCCCTTTCTTTCTGTCAATGTGCCTTTCAAATAAAGACATAAATAAATCTTAAAAACACAACGCTGCTATTGGTAGCATTATCTAAAAAGCAAAGGAAAACAAAAGAAGAGAGAAAACTACGGACTGGTTCCAAGCATCTTTGGTTTTGCATAGATGCTAGGCTGCCCTGAGCCCCAGCAGCTACTTCAGCTCCAGCAGCGACTCTCAGCTGCAGTTCCAAAGGCTGTGGTCCTCACGACACTGGCTCCTCCTCGGGCACTGCGGCCCTTCACATACATCCTTCCTAGAACAGCTGTCTCCATTCCTACTTCACAAAATAGGATCCATTTTTCAAGACCCAAACCAAATTCTAGCTTCTCTACGGTTTATTCTGCTCACCTTTAACCTAAAGTGAGCAGACTGTCTCACCTGTTCAGCCCAGATCTTCATCCCTGACTTGCACATATAAAGGAAGTGACCATAAATTCCTCAAGATCTGACATGACACTTAGAAAATCTGATATATGTCAATAAGCAAGAAAATATGAGGACATTTTAAAAACTCAATGGAAAATGGAACTGAAAATTAATTTATTCTGGAGGAAAAAGTTTGTGGAATCCATGCCGTTTTCTTTTTTTTTTTTTTTTTTAACTTTTACTGGGAAGGTCAGATATATAGAGAGGAGGACAGAGAGGAAGATCTTCCATCTGCTGATTCACTCTCCACGCAGTTGCAACAGCTAGAGCTGAGCCGATCTGAAGCCAGGAGCCAGGAGCCTCTGCTATGTCTCCTACACGGGTGCAGGGTCCCAAGGCTTTGGGCCATCCTCGACTGACTTCCCAGGCCACGAGCAGAGAGCATGATGGGAAGCAGGGCTGCAGGGATTAGAAATGGCAGCCATATGAGATCCCGGGTGTACAAGGCAAGGACTTGCACCACTAGGCTACTGTGCTGGGCCCTGCAGTTTTCTCCTAAGAAAAATTTTCCAGGACCTTTTTGAAACCTCCTCCATGCACTGATGGTGAACATTTTTGCACGAAAGGCAAACTTATTTTTTACTACATTTCCCATGACTTTTTGAAATGTCCACTTCTTGAGACTCGTCTATACAACAGTACAATGAGTTGGAGAGGCTGAGCGAGTCAGGGTAGCTTGCGACCCCGACCCCCGCCAACTCACAGTGTACAGGAGCTCCTCGGGAGTGACGGCGCTGGTGAGGATGGTGCGCAGGCATCGCAGGCAAGCTTCGATGAACTTCAGGTCAGGCGACAGCAGGCCTAGCAACAGAGACTAGATCTGAGATTCAGCGCTCCAACCACTCCCCTTAACTGCCTGAGCTACAAAGGCTTCCCCACGTACCTTGCAGTAGGGCGGGGATAATGTGGCAGTCCAGGAGAGACTTGACATTGTTTTCAGTACCCATGGCGAGGCTTCCCAACACCACTGCACATTCTGTTTTCAGTTCTGTGCTGGAGGCTTCTTGCTGAAGCAAGTACAACAATCTAAAAGGAAGGGGCTTGATGAACAGACTACAACACAACAGTGAGTTAGTGTGACAAAGCCACCGGATGCAAAATGGTTATCAATACACCCCATGTGCAACAAGTAAGGCTGCAGAGCTGGCCCCATGGCACAGTGCATTAAGCCTCCGCCTGCGATGCTGGCAATCCACATGGGCAGTGCTTCATGTCTGATCCAGCTCATGCTCATATGCCTAGGAAAGCAGCAGAATGTGGCCCAAATGCTTGTGCCTCTGTGCTCCCACTGGAGACCAGGAAGAAGCTCCAGGCTCATGGCTCCAGCCTAGCTTGGCTGAAGCCCTCTGGGAGTGAACCAGCACGTGGTTCACAATCTCTGTCTTTCTCTCTCTCTTTCTTTGTAAATCCACCTCTCTCCTTCTCTCTCTGTCAATCTGCCTTTTAAATAAAAATATTTTTTTTAAATTCAGGTTGGGGTCAGTGCTGTGGCATAGCCAGCTAATCCTCCGTCTGCAGCACCAGCACCCCAAATGAACACGGGTTCAAGTCCCAGCTACTCCACTTCTAATCCAGCTCCCTGCTTATGACCTGGGAAAGCACCAGAGAACAGCCCAAGTCCTTGGGACCCTGCACCTACATGGGAGACGTGAAAAGCTCCTGGCTTCAGATCAGCTCAGTGCCAATGCTGCAGTCATTTGGGGAGCTAACCAGCTAACCAGCTGAAGGAAGACAGTTCTCTTTCCTTTCCTTCCCATCTAGCTCCCTGCCTGTGGCCCGGGAAAGCAGTCGAGGATGGCCCAAAGCCTTGGGACCCTGCACCCATGAAGGAGACCTGGAAGAAGTTCCTGGCTCCTGGCTTCAGATCAGCTCTGGCCATTGTGGCCACCTGGGGAGTGAATCAGCAGATGGAAGATCTTTCTGTCTCTCCTTCTCTCTGTAAATCTGACTTTGTAATAAAAATAAACAAATCTTTTTAAAAATTTTTTAAAAAGGACTAATGTGAATGATTTGGGGAAATGATTGTTCATGTCACATACAAATTCAAAGAAGAAACAATGAAAGGGAAATCCGGGAAAGATTTTTTCATATTGAACAAAGAGAGCAGAATCTCAGAGCTTATGAAAGCTCTCAGGCTGCAGGCTGTCCGCACAGAGCAGAAACAGCAGTCTATGCCACGCCCCGGGTCTCCTCAGCAGGCAAGTGCTGACGGCTTGTTTCTCAATCTGTATTCACCTTACTGATTTGAAAGGCAGAGTGAGGGCAAGAGAGAGCTCTCCACCAGCCACTTCACATGTGCCACAGCTGTGACTGAGCAAGGCCAGAGCTAGCAGCTGAGAACTTAATCCAGGCCTTGTGTGTGGAAGGATGGCAGGGACCCAAGGGCGCGAGCCATGGCTTGCTGCCTCCATGTGAGCAGGAAGCTGCAACTAAGGGTAGAACTAGCATTGAAGCCAGGCCTGGACACGGACACCTCAGCAGTGTTCACACTAGCACTGAAGCCAGGCCTGGACACAGACACCTCAGCAGTGTTCAGACCAGGAGGCCAATGCGTGCTCCGCTCCCAGAGCCTAACCAACTAGCAAGGGACACTGCATCCTCACCAGGAATGCTCCCAGTGCAGAGCCCAGCCTGGACGCATTCCTTAGATTCCTTGTGCAGTTCTTCAACCAAGGGCAGCTGCTCTTCTACAGGCCACTTGAGCGATCAGATAATCCCATTTCCACTCCACTCAGCTAACACCCTAACCCTGCACAATGTACGACCATCTCCCTTTAGGTTCCGTGAAGCACTATCAAATACTGAATGCCAATTTCCTAAGAAATGTTGGTGAGCAGAACTAGCACTGTGGCATGAAGGGTCAAGCAGCTGCTTGGGTAACACATGCCCCTGTCCGGGCTCCCTGCAGGGCGCGTGGAGAGCAGCAAGCCATGGTCGGAGGCTCGGCCCACTACGCACACAGATCTGGATGGAGGGCCTGGTGCCTTGGCCTGTCCAGCCCCGGCTGCTGCACCCACTGCAGGGGGAACTAGCAGATGCAAAACCATCCTTCTCTCCCTGCCTATCAACTAAAATAGTCTTTTAAGAGAAAAAAAGGCTTGTGAGAGAAGTATGGTTACTGAATATATATTCAAGGTCATGATGTCAAAAACATTAAAACCTTCAATCCAATGTCAAGAAATTAAGTTACAATGTTAATTTTAAAAACATCAAACCCTAAAAATCAGTTATTTTTAGTAAGAACTAAAAGCCAAACATAATTTTTTTTCTTTAAACTCTTAAAATTTAAACACAAAACTTAAAACCTTAAAACAAAACTGGAAAGGTTCTAAGGAGATGTGGAAGAAGTGTCAGACTTCTTGCAGGGCAAGCGAGCTGAATCTAAAAAGCACTAACATATCCACACCCTCATTTAGAAAACATTTCAAAGACAGGATAAACAACATGGAAAAACCACAACGTGTGCGTGAGGACAAAGCGCCCAGGGCAGCCTGGCTGGCACAGCAAGGAGGGGTCATCGCACACCTGGGAACGGCTCCCAGCACGATGAGGTTGGCTTTCTGCTTGTTGTTCCCAATGACAGCATTCTTCATGTCTCTGAATGAGAAAAGAGATAAAGGTAAAAACACGTGGCGACAACACTGGGAAAAAGTCAAAGATCAACCAACTGCACCTTCTAATGTAACACCTTAGACTGGCATGTTAGTGACAACGTAAAAAAATTCTTTTGCATCTGAGGTTCTAAGTAACACGTGGACTATAGAACAGGGCAATGTAAAGGACTGGCCAGACGACCAATACGCTCAAGGGGAGGCAACTCCTCTACAATGGGTCTGAGTTCTGCATGTCCGAAGGAATACAGCCCCCCTGGCACTCCACCTGGCACGGGGAGTATAACCAACCCAGCCTGAGAACACATCTAACAAGATCACACTGCTCATTTTTCCCTTTTTCTCATTCCCTCAGGACTATCACCTTTTTAGATTTATTTATTTTTATTTGAACGACAGATTTACAGAAAGAAAGACAAAGATCTTTCTTCCTCCAGCTCACTCCCCAAATGGCTGCAACACTGAGCCGATCTGGAGACAGGAACCAACCCTGGAGAACGAAGCACGGCTCGCCAACAGGCAACTCGTTACAGGAAAACATTACAAGTCATGAATGTCAAATAGTTTTTTCAAAAAAAAAAAAAACAAATGAGAGAAAAAAGTTGTAATCCTACATTTCCTGAATTGCAGCATTTGGAAAATTAAAACATGAAAACAAACAAGATTTTCTAGGAGACCTCTGAACACACGCTACTTACATGACACCTTGTAGCACTTTCTGGGGATCAGGGTCAAATAGCCTGTCAACATAGTGGCGACTGCTCGCTGTCACTTCCTAGAGTGGGAGAGAAATGAGGACATGTGAAGCCACCTAAGTCACAGGCTCACAGCATCACCCACAGTCTCAAGCAACAATATGATTCAGATTTCTACAAATACTTGCTATTTGCCTCCTCAGAACACGGGACACTTAAGCAGGTGATTTTTCTCACACACACCAGAACAACCGCAAACTCAATGTCCAGTGTAAGACACCCCAAATCAGTATTTTTCTAATAATACCTGATTTTGAAGGTAAAAATGTCCATGGGACACTCTTCAAATTGCAGTGTGTTGAAACTGACAGGATTTACAAAATTCAAATCATTGCCTAAGCACAGGATAACTGTGCTAGCTAGCAGTGAGAACCAGGGCCCATGAGCCTCCGTCAGGAGCACTCTGTGCAGCCATTCTGAGGACGGCTGGGATGTGCTGCAGTTAACGCGGACCTCACCAGTTCTCCACCAGTAACTGGCCAGTGGGACCTTCGTGGTGAGCTGTAAGAATTATCTCAACAGATTAACTGAGTATATGTGCTAAGAAGGAAGCTTGGGGTCCAGCACAATAGCCTAGAAATGGGACGTTTTCTGCCTATGACAGGTTAGTTACAATTCTTGCTAACAGGGTCTGCTTCCCACAATCTAATGCAATTATGTGTCCTAACCTCTTACTTCAACAAGTGAGGCTTAGGATCTTTACCCAGGCACTAGATCACCAAATATTAAGCATTCTACAAATGCATCATGAAATAATACATCAACATTGAAGAAAGTGGCGTCATCATACAAACACACATGAACACATGTGCTGTCTGGTGACATCAGACCCTCAGCCTCCTCTGCGGCTCTGTCCCGTGGGTCCCTAGGGTCCTACAGCCCCTGAATGTAGCTTACTCCACTGCTTTTGGTTTAAGGTGTATATCTTAATCAACATGAACCTCCCCATTAGTAACAACTCCTTGCTGTTCTGCGGCTGGTTCAGTCACTACAACAAGCACTAAGTACCGAGAGCAAGGTGCTAAGGAAACACGGATGATTCTAAATCCTATTGCAATTGTGTTCACATTTTGTCTTCCCCACTAGAATACAAGTGCACGATGTGAAAGCAGCACTGAGGACTGAGAAGGGGCGGATGAGCTCAGAGTCAGGACAGGCTTCCTCGAGATGGTGTTAGAACACGGGCACATGCATCTCCACCAGAGCCAGCGAGAACGTGAAGTCACCGTATCCGAGTCAACAGCAGGAACCCCAGCTGGGGGCGCTGAAACAGAAAGGAAGGAAGTGACCACTGAATGTGCAACACAGCAAGCTGACCAACAGGTAGCCCATAACTGAGAATTTCAGGTGGCCTTTTGGCCAAGTTCCATGCTAGCTGGCAGAGAAGGTGCAACAGGATATTAAGGCAGAGCCCCGTGCTTGAGGAGCTTACAGTCTGTATGGTATCACACAGCTCCCTAAGCCAGCTGGGCCAGCCAGCTGGAGCTATACAGTCACTCAGTCCGTCTTATTCACTCTGGGCCTCTGCCTACCACGACCATCCATGCCCGTGGCTCTAAGGGACCTCTCCATTTCACTGCTTCCCTTGACAGCTTGGCTCACTTCTCAACTCTCAGCTCTCTTGTCTTTCAGAGGGAAACCTGAAAATGTAAGACAGAGACACAAAGGAACCGGTGTGGATATTAAACAGGCTAGTCAGGAAAGCAGCTGAGAAAGGCCCAAAGCCTTGGGACCCTGCACCCCTCTAGGAGACCTGGAGGAAGTTCCTGGCTCCTGGCTCCGAATCGGCACAGCACTGGCCGTTGCGCTCACTATGGAAGTGAATCATCAGATGGAAGATCTTCCTCTCTGTCTCTCCTCCTCTCTGTATATCTGACTTTCCAAAAAAAAAAAAAAAAAAAAAGACCCTGAACCAGTAACGAAAACGTACAACTGCAGGGAGTCCAAAGGACCTCTAGAGCTTTGCCATTACAAACTTAAAGTGAGGTGGTCAGCATGGACGTTTCTCTTAGTTACATTTACAGGAACAGAAGCAAGCAAGATCTTGCTTGCTTAAGATCTAGCAGAGTTGATCTTAAACTTGGAATTTAACCAGCAAAGATGATGAAGCTAGAGGGGAGAGTGCAGTAAAGGCAGACTTACTCAGGTAATGATAAAGACCAAAGAACCAGAGGGCCTGGCGTGGTGGCACAGTGGTTAAGGTCCTCGCCTTGCACGCCCGGGATCCCATATGGGCGCTGGTTCTAATCCCAGCAGCCCCGCTTCCCTTCCAGCTCCCTGCCTGTGGCCTGGGAAAGCAGTCGAGGACGGCCCAAAGCTTTGGGACCCTGCACCCGCGTGGGAGACCCGGAAGAGGCTCCTGGCTTCGGATCGGCATAGTATCGGCCCATTGCGCTCACTTGGGGAGTGAATCATCAGACGGAAGATCTTCCTCTCTGTCTCTCCTCTCTGTATATCTGCCTTTCCAATAAAAAAAATAATAATAAAAATAAATCTTTAAAAAAAAAAAAAAAAAAGACCAAAGAACCAGAGCCAAGAGGCCATGAGCAACAGCCTGGCACCGGGGAGTAGCAGAGGTTTGGGCAGACAGCGCTCCAGCTCAGATGCTTCAAGTGGAGATTATAGAGGGATTTTGGTCTTCGGTAATATGCCCACGATAGGATGGTGGAGTTGACCACTGATGAAGTCTAAAGTTTGAGAAAATATTTATTTAATGAAATTTCCATAAATTATCACAAGAGTGCTTGATTGAGTATGGGACAGCAGACAAAACCTCAATGAGGCAGATCAAGGGGTCCACAGGAACTACGCCAAAACACAATCTGTTGAGATTCAAGGTTAGAAATGTCAGGGGTGGGTGCCAGGCCACACCAAGTCAAGCTGGGTCAAACCCTGGCTATTCCTCACCTCCCACCTGGCTTCCTGCTAATGTGCCTGGGAGACAGAATTTGGTTTCCCACATAGCAACGCAGTGTTCCAAGGCTCCTGACGTCAGCCTGGCCTGTCCCCAGCTGTGAGCATCTGGTAAGGAAACCTGCAGATAACAGACCTCACGCTCTCTTGGTCTCTTCCTGTAACTTTGCCTTTCAACACACACAGAGCTGGAGTTTTCAGGGCAGAGGTGAAGAGAAGGGTCTGCAGGCAGCAAAGAGGAGAGAGGTCGTCTGCCCAGCCAAGCGACTGGAAAGACACGGGAAGAAGAGACCAAGCAGCCGAGAAGACTCTAGGATACGGTCTGGAAGTGTGTCAGCACAGGCCAGAAAGCTAGTTCCAAAGCCGACGAGAGGAGAAAGGAACTATGACGAGGTCGAGGATAAAGTTCACTAAAAGACACACCAGAAAGGGGTCTGGAGAGAACAGCGAGAGTGAGACAGAGGACAGGACCCCACGTGCGTCCCAAGGAGAGCGGGGGGGAGGATCCAAGCCCCGGGAGAGGGGAAGGCTGCAGGATGCTGGGAGCCTGTCCTCTGCTGGCCACGCAGTGTGGACAGAGCCCGCGGACACACTGCTTGCCAGGGGCATTTCTTATTCACTCCAGAACTACTGGGGACACTGCACTTCCTTCTTCCTCCCCGCCCACAGAAGCAGAAATGTGCGTGGGTTCTCATATTCTGCCCTTTCACTTTATGCTCCTTTGAGGTTCCTTCCAGGGCTTCCAGTAGCTCAAAGAGGTTTGTCCACAAGGTAATTCCTCCATCGTCCAAACGTGCCAGGCAACTTGAGCTCCAGGGTAGCTGTGTCCATGAGGGACAGCACAGGCAGCCAGAAAGCTGGAAGCATGAGCGTGCAGGCCCTCCAAATCTCTTAAAATTTTTACATATTCAAAACTGCAAAAGCCAACACAAACATTTACATAAAAAAAACCTGTTACAAATGCAGATGTCTGGCACAGCAGCTCAGGCCTGGTGTGTATGGCTACATCCCAGAAGCTAAGTCTGCCACCCAGCTCTGCTTTAAATCCCACCTTCCTGTGAATGCACTCTGGGAAGGCAGCCAGCGACAGGTCAAGTGCTTGGGTCCCTCCACCTACAGGGGACACCTGCCTGGAGTTCCAGTTTGTCGCTGTCTCAGCTGTTGGGACATTTGGATACTGAACTGGTGAATGAAAGATCTTTATGTGCCTTTCAAATACATGAAAATTTGAAAATAACCCTTTACATTTTAGGTTTAACAATATTCCATCCAAAATATTATATGAAAATCGCATGGCCTTTTCTTTTCTTTGGGTACCCATGTATAACAGGCAGCCACTAGCAAGCTCCCCCATGCTCCTCGCCCCGAGGATTGGAACCTGGCAAACAGACCACCAGAGAGGCGACAGGAAGTCATTTCAGACACATCAAGGTTCTCCTGCCCACACTCCCCGTTCTCTCTGGTAGAAGCCAGTTGCTAGGCTAGTTCCCCTACAGAGAGGCCAGATGGCAGAGCACCGCATCCTGCCAGCAACACACACGTGAGCTTGGAACCAGGTTTTCCCCAAACGTAGCCTTCCGATTAGATTGCAGTTCCTGCTAGCACCTTTACTGTCACCTCATAAGGGACCCTGGGCCAGAGAAGTGCAGCTTAATTCACACCTTTATTCCTGAAACTCTAAGACAGCAAGTGTTGTTTTAAGTAAACAGGTTTCACTGCAGTAGATAACTAAAAGACTTTGGAATTTATCATCCAAATTAGGATAATTTTAAGGAAAAAAAAAAGAGTATTAACAATTGCCACAGAATAGCTATCTATAAACCAGGAACGCTGCAGATAGGCCAGACTGTATCATCACCTCTTATTCATCTGTAATGCAAAAAAAAAACAGAGGAAGAAGCACACAACCCAGCACATGGATGGGACATCCTGGAAAGGCCAACTGAAACAGGCTTAACTGCTCCCTGCGACAGAACTACCCATGACTACACTGAATTTAAGTCACTGGTTTTGCTTTGTTTCGGAAAAAAACATTTTTAGGAGGGTTTCATATTAAAAAAAAGAATCTGAGTTGGAGGCCAGTGCTACGGCACAGTAACTTACATAT